AAAAAAAAACGTCCAAATTTTGTGCTTAATAACTTTCGAACTGCTACTTCTAATAAAACGGTTTTAGGCTTATTTTAAAGCCTGTTCATTTATCTTTCGAACAAATGGTCATAGAAAAAAATTTAGTGAAACCTATCATGTTTAGACGCCGCTTAATTATACAAATTTACTGTGTTATTCCATAGTCGGTTGCAACGTTTGAATTTTCTTGTTCAAACTTTAATGTTCTTGTTGCCACATTGGGAAAACTAGTAAGAACTTGTTAAAAACATTCTAAAAGAGATTAGGTTGTTTTATTTATTTCAAAATCCTAAATTATTTCCAGAAATCATCAAAACAACCTTACGTCCATTCATCGTCCGAACAAGCACCATCGAATCGGGCCGTAATGTAAATATAAATTAGCAAGTTGATGGCAAGCTAAAACAAGCTTCAGCCGGTATTATAACGCATTTGAAGTCAGCAAGTGAATTTAAAATAGTGTATTGGAAGCCATTATTACTTGATTTTTACAAGCAATTGCCAAAATGCCTCAATTTGCTCGTTTTGTTGACAAAATAAGTTATTTTCATCAAGTACTGGTTTGTTATTGCATCTCAAATTTTTGACTCTCCAATCGCAATCACTTAAAATATTATTATTCATGAACTTCTGGATAGGCTGTTGCGGTATTTGAAAAAAACCGAAAACCGATACCGGAAAAAAAATACCGATAATACCGATATATCAATATTTTTTCGCGATTGTAGTTTGTTTAATTTTATGCCAAATTTGCTTAATTTTACGCAAATTTTCTGTTTTCAAATAACGCCAAACAGCCGCGGCATATTGGGATATAACAACAGAGATGTTTTACTATTTTTGTAACTTGTATTTATTAAAAGATGTTTAAACTCGTTCTCGACAACCGGTTTCGTATTACATTTCGATACAATTTTTCTAATATAAATATATCGGCGAGTATTTACCCCCCTATTAAATAAATGCCACCATTGAAATCCTCACAATATAACCTTTCGAACGGGGGGTCAAGTGCCGTCAAAACGTTACACAAACCGAAACAATCATATATTTATACTCACGGCTTCGCCAAACATTCAAACGGGAAAAAGAGAAAAAGTTGAATATATTCTAAAATTTGGTGTCATTTTCTGAAAGGATATATGTGCAAAATACTCTTTGTATTCAAGCGCTTTAGTGTAGAAAGTTTCGTATGAATACGGCGAGTAGAAATATTTATTTTGAATTTTTCAAGGTATCAGGTTTTACTCGCACGCGCTTGTATTACGTAATACTTGGCCAATAAGGAGCTCCCTTTAGCCGGGATGACGTCAAACTCACGCGTATGGGTGCACTTTGACCTGTAGAATCCATTTCTGGCATTTCCAGAGTCACGCGATACAAACTACGCATTGTTTTGACGGTTTTTCGTCGTATTTCCGGTTGGGATTAACGCAAATTCGGGGCAGAAATGCAAAATTCGGCAAGAAAACTCGTATTTTAAAGATAGAAGCTTGAAAATAACAGTATACATGTTATTTTTAACTGCTTCATTCAGCAAGACTACCAGAATGAGCATACGTCTCAAGGGGCCGAAGTTATGTTCGGCGAAAGGTATGTCTATGTTTATAATTTGTTAGTATAAATATTGTGTAATTTGATCAAATACCAAGCTCCCTTGACTTTCAAAGCTCATAAGTTGCTACAATTTAGCCACTGACTAAAACTATCGTTATAAATTAGTGTATATTTTTATACTGAATCGAATGGTAGTATTTTCATTTACATAGCGTGCACTGAACCAAAGATATGAACGAATTACATCCGTAGAACGTGCACGTTCTACTCGTAATGGCCCCTGCTGAGAAGGAGTTAACAATATAGTTCTATTTACAAATTTTCTGCCAGAAACACAAGCATATTTGCTTGTTCTGGCTTTAGCTGAGACCTTTGTGCGGTGACAATCTGACCGGCTTTACTGAACAGTCTCTCAGACGGCGAACTGCTTGCAGGAATTGACAGATATTTTCGTGCCAACTGACTGAGCATTGGGAAGTCTCGACCGTGGCATTTCCACCACAACAAAGGATCATTGTCGCCATCGATTGTGTCTGTATTCACGTATTTCTTCATCTCCTTTTCCAATCGATCCCACGGCGACTGCGCTGGCGATGACACTTGAGACGATTTCCGCATGCTAGTGATGAAGCCAAGCGTCTTCTTGACTTTCTTCTGTGGTAGTTGGCATGGTTCATCTTCAGATGCATTGCTTGTGACGAACACAGCTTCCTTTAAAAGAGCATTCTTGACAACAGCAAACTCGCTTGAGCTTGACTCGACCATCGATTCAACATCGCAATCTTCGTCGTTGTCAGTAAGAAAGTCGGTCTGCAAAATATATATAATATAACAAATATTAGAATTAGTAATTAATTACCAACTGTAGAGTAAACAGTTCACTTCAAAACCCTACAGTACAGGCGAGCCGCTTACGCTAATTTTTGCATATTTCTTAATTATGTTGCACACGAAATATGCAGTTTTATTAAGCGGCTAATACTGTACCTTAAATCTTGGGTCAAGAAAGCACGTGATATCCATCAACAGTTTTTTTTCTTCACATGAATATTTGACTTGAAGGGCTTTCAATATCTTCTTCTTAATGGACACGGTCATTGGCAGGTCTCCATTCTTTGCAGCGAGTTCTTCGTTTTTGAGCCGACGAAGGATTGGTGTGAGCGCTGATATTGTCACATATTCACTTCCACTCATGATGTCGGTGAAATCAGCAAGGGGTGCAAGAGCGGCATCGACTGCTTCCAAGACTTCAATGTCTTGCCACTTTGGCACCAAGTGAGCCGTGTCCCTGTCGTCACCAAGTACACGACGAATGGCCTTCTTATTCTTTAGGACTCTCGCAATCATCTTGTGGGTAGATCCCCAACGAGTTGAGCATTCCTAAAGAAACAAAAAGACAAAATTAAAATAAAACAAACGCAAAAGTCAAAGCTAAGCCGTTCATCTAAAAGGAAAACATTGTCGTATGATGCAAACAGAAATCTTTTAATAAACTGTGAAGTGTGAAGGAACAAACAATGCGAAAGTACATACCGACGCGAGTTTTAATGGAGGGTTTTCTGGATCTTCTTGAAGTTGTGCTTCTGAAAGAGCCTTTTTTCTTTTCCAACTCATATTGAAGGCTGCAACACTCTTCTTGCAAACACCCACTGCACGCTTCAGATTTGGTTCTTTCGCTATAGTGTTCGTGATTGCCAGATGAAGGTTGTGACCGAAACAGGTGATATTGTTCCATTCCTTGTCTTTGCACGCCTTGATGATGTTTGCCCCATTGTCCGTTGTTAACACAGTCATCTTTGCTGGGTCAAGTCCCCAGTAGGTTAGGATATCATCTAAACAACTACCGAGTTCTTCCGCGGTATGATCCTCAGGCACATATTTCGTTCCTAGACACCGATTTTTTAAGTTCCATTCATCGTCAATCCAGTGCAAGGTAAAGCCAATATAGGGCGTCATGCCGTGTGAAGACCACATGTCCGTTGTGGCAGCGAAAAAATCCACGCTATCTTTCAGTTCACCCAGAAGTCTTTTTCGCGTTGCGTCGTAAAGTTTGACCACACGCTCTCTTGAGAATGTCGACTTTGCCGGGACTTCATAACGTGGCTCTAAGATGCGAAGTAAACGCTTAAAGCCGGGGCGTTCGACAGCATTAAATGGAACGCTGTCTTTTGCCAAGAAATGCGTAATGGCATCCGTGATTTCTTTGGCGCGTTTATTACTTGACGGCAGTGTACCTTGTTTTTCTATAGCTTCAAAAATGCTTGGCTGGCATGGCTTTCTAGGTGAACATTCACTGCCTTCATTGGTACTTGTAGTTGAAGAGACTATGTTGCGAGGAGACGAAGCTTGTTTTATATTCTTTTGCAACGTGCTGTATATCATGTAGTGATTTGTCTTGAGATGAGACATGAGGTTTGAAGTATTACTTCCCTTATTCTTGACGATTTTCCCACAGATTTGACACTGGGGATCATCTTTTACTTTCTTAAAATGATTCCAGACAGCGCTTGGCATGTTGATACTCTGAATGTTAGTCTTCAAGTGAAACAGTAACAATGGGTCTGGAATGTAGATTGTCACAAAACAACAAAAATAGTCTATTTATTCTAATTTTAGATTTCTGACTCATCAGGTGCGGGATATTTTCAATAAAGTGTTGGGCCAGTGATCGGTAGCCCGTGAAATGTCCGCTTTGGGAATTGAAAATGCATATTTGCATTGATTATCCGCACTTAGGATGAATCAAGTGTGATATTTTGGCCGGGAAATTTGTTTCAAAACATATTATTCAACTGCGAGTTCGAAACAAGGATTATTCTATCAGATAAACAATGTCCAGTGAGGTTAGTTTTTGTGTTTTTTTTAAACATTTGTAATCCACGGTCCACCATTGTTTACGTTCTAAAAGTTTACTTTTTGACAAGCGAAATTATGTATTGCACTTTGCAACGCCAACGTAAACAAACACGTTTTAGCTCTCGCCCTAACTTTTCCCCGCAAAGTTAGCACATTGATCGTCTTTGTCCTTCTGAAATAACTCCAAACAGAGCTTGAAAAAGCTTGATATGACGTTTAAATATACAAATGTAAACGCGATATCGATAATACCGAAAAATATCGATATTCCGATATATCGAAAATTTCAATATCGAGTTATCGGTATTTATAAAAAACCGATAATTATCGATATATCGATATACCGCAACAGCCTACTTCTGGATTATATTTACGAAACAACCCACAGTTGAAAAGCTGAATGTCTAAGCTTTAAAATGAATGTAAACGTGAACGTTTTGCTTTAATATTCGTTTTGAAATTTATATTTGAAGCGAGGACTCTGTTTTTTATGATACACCCTGTATATACGCATACTCAAAGTATGGCATATTAAAACTATATTCTCAGCCTCTTCAGATTAACACCATATTGAAACATAAGTCTCACTAAACAAGATCCCTTCATACCCCATCATTTCATGTAAGCATTGTGAAGACTCATTCAATCAGAAGGTTGGATTAGGAATACGAAACGAGTTGCATTCAGATTTAGAATTGATCAATAAATGTGCTGCTTACACCCTCAGGCATATTAATGCCTGGGTCTGCCCACGCTTGGATGATATCTTGCATGTGTGATGTGCATGTGATGCCCACGCAATCTGTCAGTAATGCGTCTATTAGAATTTGCATGCCTTGTGTGAGTATTTTAGTGAATTCGGGCATTTGCTTTAAATCAAAATATAGTATATACGAGTGACAGAATATACAATGCAAAGAAGTCAGTAAACTATTCAGTTTTGATGTGATAATTGGCTCTTTATATAGCAATAACTATTGTATCATTTGCGACAGCTGACCTTTGAACTGCTAAGTAAAAGCATGTTATAATGCGCTGTTTCGATGAAAAATTGCTTGTGAATTACAAATTTATTATACCACATATAGTTCACTCGTCTTTTCCACCATGGCATACTTCCCTTCAAGCATTAACTATGCTTCAACATATCGGCTTGAATGCATAATGAATGCTGTTATTGGAAATATAATATCCCTTATAAGTGGTTCATTATGGTGCGTGAAATGCATCACACAAAAAACATGTTCGACTTGCAGCAGGGTAATTTGACAAAATGTTTCTATTTTTATTAGATAAAAATATTAACAAGGGAACAAAGTTTCCTGTGTTAATTTGGAAATCGTATATTTGGAAATAACATTTAATGACACAATTAACATTTGTTTGATACCGATCATCATAATATAGCCGCATAAAATAATGAATGAAGCCTAAATATAAACTTATCAGATTTATTCAATAAACAGTGATATTATGTGTGAATGATTATCGCAATTCTGCGTCCTCTCAGACAATAAATATACTGCTGCAGAGCCTCTGAATAAAACGTATAATTTTTTGTGTTGGTTTTCGAAATATACATCATGTGATCATTGCCATGACAACGAAAAGGTAATCGGTAATTAGGTAATCGTTCCATGTTTCGCGCACCAATATAGTAAATGTTATGTAATGGATATTATAGTGTATTGAAAAGTTCACTAGATACCTCCATACACATATATACACACCCTAACCCCAACCTTAAAACCTAACCTTAATGTAACCCCTAACCATTACCTATATTGGTTCACAAAACATGGAATGATAACCAACTTTTATCAATCAATCAATCAATACATATTTATTTCCCATGTGTATGTACAATAATAAGTAACAAAAACTATGTGTAGTTTGAAGGTGTTGGGCTCGAGAGCTACTGGAAACCTTTTCAGGCTTTTTAATGTAAGCCACTAGTTAGGTTTGTAAAAAAAAATTGCATATATATTTACAGTGAAGAGTAATTATTGAAGTAAGACCTAAAAGTATATACTATTTACAAAAGAAGGATATTATATCATAATCTACAGTTACAAGCAATTTTCGCTATAGAACCTCCTTTGACAAATCATATAAAACTTGAATGGTAATAATCAAGGCCATACTTATTTTTTTAATGATTTTTTGTCTATTTTCGCTAAATACACAAACTGAGACCCAGGCATTAATGTACCTGAGCCTTCACTAATTTGTCTTAACATAGCATCCTTGGAAAAAAACCTGTAACACTCATGCGGAAGTCTTGAAGCTCACCCCCATGCTTCTCCTTACAATGTTTCCACAATGCTGATTTGTTCATCCTTTTTATTGAACAACTTCATATGCTCTGCCTCTCTCATGTATGCACTTCTTGATGACTCCCCAACATAGACACTATTGCATTTGTTACAAACGATTCAGTTATTTCATTCAGTTATTTTTCATGTTTTGATGTGCTTTCGTGTACTTTTCAGTATTTCCAAGCTCACGATATTGTAAGAGTGACCAAACTTGTTTATATTCATACTTTTTGTGACTAAAATGTATTATCATGGGCTTGGAAATATTGAAACGTGCACGGAAGCACGCCAAAACATGACAGTTTGCGCCAAAAATAGCTTAAGGCTTTTCAATGTGACACGTCACATGAGCGGTGAAACATTTCAGTTTCCAACGGTAAACGCCCCGTTTCAAACGTAAACAAACGTGCGAAAATGTTTGCGGTTTGTGCTTGGACGAAAATTGCTGTAAACACTATTTTCTCACGCAAAAGCGAAAAAGTAGGAAGCGATCCAACTTTTGTTTTAATGCTTCTCTTCGCAAGAAAATATTCCTATGTAGCTGAATCAATAGCTATAAAATAAAGTATTTTTCGAGCAGTTGCGGTATAACGTATAGTGTTGCGTAAGTTGGACTATTGCGCAAATTAGTAAGTTGACACTTAGTTATTGAGGGATTCCCCCAGACAACGCTTTTTATGTAAAATATAAACTATAATCTTATTAATTTCGCGTGATGAATTAGCATTATTCGCGGGTAGGCATGATAACGCATTTTGTGGTAAGCGCTCCCTTCCCGCACCTCCCTTCCTTTACGTAGAAAATGTCATAGTTAATAGTCATAGTTAAACGCCCACATTAGGTGGAGAGTATAAATGTAGAGAAAGTATCATAAAAATATCATAAATAAAATAGATTCTAACTGGATGTGTCGTTAATGTGTTATTGAGAATCTCGCTATACAAAAAATAATGGCCGAAACTTCGAGTGATTGCGGCCGAAAGAAAGCAAAAGTTGATGGTTCTTTAGATGGTTCTTCCGCTTCTTCGCGTAAATTTGACGGTGCTGCGCGATTCAAGTCAAAATTTCAGCCATCCTGGTCAAAAAAGTGGCCTTGTATTATTGCTGTTCCTCGTTCACCAACTGAGTTCAGGTGTATGGTGTGCGACAAAGTTTGCAGCTGTGCTCATCAAGGGGAATCTGATGTGACAAGACATATTCAAGGTGAAAAGCACCAGAAAAATGTACGAGCTAGGACCAATGCAGCGCCCGTTAAGTTCATTTGGGTTTATTTCTACCTCGGATCCACTGAAAGATAAGGTAATACATTAACATATTGTTGTAGTAATAGTGTATGTATATCAGTGTATGGTTGTTTAAAACAATTTGTTTTACTTCTAGTGAAATAATTAATTATAATAGTATTTTTCTAAAAGCTTATTCCATTTTTAGGTCACAACTGCAGAAATTAAAGTTGCTACACTCTTAGTTGAAAACAACATCCCTCTTGCATTTGCTGATAAGCTTAGTCCAATGTTTAAAGAGTTATGGGCAATTCCATGTAACGGACATTACAAACTTTGTCAAATTTTATGGAATAGATCACTTTTTTTCTTCACACGAATTGCCATTATGATCTTATTTGGGAACTTTGGAAACTGAAAATTAATATTTAGTGTGTCCAATTTATTTTTTCTAAATATATTACTTTGTTTGGTATGTATTTTCAGACGAAGTAGCGTAACAGACATTACACCAGAAAAGACATGACAACATTGATACATTTTTTAACAAAATTATCATCACAAATAAGACAATAATTATAACAAAATAAGTTGTTTGTAAATTAGTTAAATATCATCTTCAATGTATTTGTTCAAATTTGGTGATACACAAACTTTAAATAGGATAAATGTAAATTTGTCAAGTAACGGACATTACTAAAAAACTGTAACGGACATTACACTTTTGTCCGTGGTCTCTTACTCATTACTGTATTGACACAAATAGTTCTATGGTACTTAAACCTGCCTAATAACATATTCAAACAACCATAATATATAATACACTAGAAAATAGCTGTTATATTCATTATGGAACCAAATGTTATTTAGGCATAAAACGCTTTGCTTTTCGATAATAACTTTTAACATACTGTACATGCATGAGCATTTTCATCTATGTCAGACTCAGTTGCATGATTTCAGTCTGTTCCCCATCTGCTCTCTAATTCAATGATCCTGTAGGTGCCACGATTGTTGATAGGCTGTGGAAACTTGATGTGCTGTATTATATCTTTTTGCAAGTAATCAATTTCATCTACGTGTTTTGGCCATCTCCAACCACCAGCACACTTCTCGAAGACCTTTATTCTTGCACCCTTACCTTCAGGATAGACAGCTGTAACTTGACCAGGAAACACTGCTCCTTCGTATTTACATATAACAAAATCTTCAACATTTATATGAACAGGATGAAGAGCTACTTGCTGGCATCGGTCGTCATACCATTTGTCCAAATCGGAATCGCTTTCATCAGTTTCAGAATCTTGCTGGGAGACATCATCATTACATTCTTGGCGAGTATACTCCTTGCAAATAATTTTGCCATCCTGCAGAGCTGTTACATAATGCATCTTCTTGATACCTTTAACTGCAGTCGAGGAAGCAAAACTTTCTTCAAGACTAATATCAGCGGAGCAGCTTTTGATGCTTGCAGCTGTCACTGCAATGACTTCCACATGCTGTTCTTTCTTTCTTGCCACTTCACAAAAATCTTCCAGTGAGTTGATAACTGCCCTTCTACTCAAGGTTTCCATGCAGACATTTCTTTTAACTGTACCACCTATCCCATCAACTGCTCCTTTGCCATGGGATGTAGCAAAGAAGTGCCAGGTTAGGGATTCAAGATGGTACAACTCGTGCAGGACTGGGAGGAAGTTGAACACATACTGATTCTTGAACTGTGAGGATGGACCATCTGAAAAGATGTCGACGTTCTTTATGGTTTCTTTATCAGTCAACTCCGCAAGCAATTTATGAAGGAACACCAGAACACTGGTCTTGTCGTGATCCAGATCATCACTTACAAATACCATGCTCTTTTTACTGTCATGTGTCCATACACATACAGTGAACAGTGTCAACTGCTGCTGACTCCAATATGCAGATTGAATTTCTCCTTGCTGCTGTAGTGAATAGTTCTCACTGAAATCTACTTGAATAACTGCACTGGCGTCAGGAATGTCTGAAAGTTTTTCTTGAAAGCAGGCACTTTGTTGCCGCTTGATAAAGACATGAGCAAGAAAATCAGGCATCTTTTCTATCAAAGTGGCGACAGCTTCAGCTACTGATCCAGCTTTACAGATCTTCTTCATCTGTTTCTTTGATGAGGTCTTGACAGTATCAGCTTCCTTATTTGCACCACGCCTAGGATGAGCTATCTCGTTGTTCTCTTCTTGAACCCACTCGCACCACAAGACTTCGCTGGCTTGATCTGCTTCAACAAAACTGCTTAAATAGGTTTCAATTTTGTGATATGAACATGTATCACAATTGCCCATCATGCACTTCTCTGAATCAGGTGAACAAACCATGTTGTCTACAAATGAGCTGGAGTATATAGGGAAAGTTGGAATAACTTTATGTAGTGCATCACATAAGAGAGCAATATTTTCATGATATTTGCACAGACATGCATCTTTCGGAGTTTTGGACTGGTGAAAAACATTAGTTGGCTTCAGTTCAGCAAACTTAGATTTCCCTATCTTAACATCTGGGTGGTCATGTAGGAATAAGGAATGGGTTTCTTTGATGGTGTAATACAGATGCCTTTTCTGAAGCTTAATTTTGCCACCTTCCTTCCACAATGTGACATAGTCCTTTTTGCCAGGGGCCTGCCGGGAAATATCGTCACGGGAATAGAAATTTCTAACCTTCTCTTTCACCTCATCACTTAAAATTGTTTTTGGTTTTATACTTGATTTTATGATCCCTACTCGTTCAGCAATCTGGTTCACAACAGCTTTCTTCTTTCTAGGGCTTAAGGGCAACGATTTAGAAGCCCTTGAAACTGCTCTTCCTAGGGATGATCTTGTTGTAAAGGCTGGTTTTTCTGACTCTTCAAAGTTGATTTTCTTCTTTGAACGACATTTTGTGACCCTCTGCCTATTCAGCCTGTTTCTATGTGCTTTTTTTTCAGAGCTAATACCAATTTCTCTTTCCTTCAATCTTTCTGCTTGTTTCCTTGCTTTGTCTTTCTCTAGAATTTCTTCATGTTTCTGTTTATTCTGTTTAGTTCGTTCTCTGTATTCTCTCATACGAGTTCTTGGTGATTTGGGTTTTGCCATCCCATAATAATTTGTGTTTTGTTTGCTTTTGTGTGTGTTTATGTGAACGAATGTTTTAAAACATCATTTTTCCTTAGTAAACCACTCTCCAAGGGCACAGATCACCCAGAAATATTATAGCTGATTCAAATTTGAGGCTTAAAAAGTAATGTCCGTTACGCAATGTCCGTTACGTAATGTCCGTTACGTAACATCCGTTACGTCAAAAATCATGTACAATTGAGACAGAACAGGTAAATAAAGATGGAATTGAGTTGTTTATGATGGATAAAGGAAGATTCCAGGATAAGAGGTTTTTACAATTAATGTAATGGATACATCATAAAAAAATAATTTAGTATGTAACAGACATTACATCACAAATAGTACATTTAATCATCAAAATTGTTACTTTTCTTTCAAAAGAAAACAATAAAAAAAACAAAATTCTAATAGTTAAGTTTAATTTTAACCTTGCATTGAGTTTTATTGCAAGAGAAAGAACATCTAAAGCTTTAACAGACAAGATTAAAGTTGAAGCAAGTTTTACGATTGCAGAGTCACTCACAAGTGCTATAGGAAAAACAGGGAAAAAATGAAATTTGTAGAAAAATCATGCCAATATAAATATATTTCAAAAAATTCAATAAATGATGATATGATATAATTATGTTCTGATGGAAAATTAACAACCTGAAAATTTTGCATCTAGTGCATTTAAGCATGGAATTGCCCTTATTTCCTGACAGCAACATAGCTAAGAACTACCACAGCGCAAGAATGAAGACAACTTGCATATTGAATGGATCAATAGCTCCACACGTAAAACAGACATTAGTTGAACAGCTGAAATCCGGAGTTTTTAGCATGTCAACAGATGGTTCTAATGACAAAGACCTCGACAAAATGAATCCAATCACGGTAAAACTTTTTGACATTAACGCGTCAAGAGCAGTTACCCGTTTCCTGGACATGGGAGTGACTCAGGGTGTGGATGCTGCTAAGGCTTCTACAATATTTGAAGCAATCGATGAAGTTATGACCGACAACAGTATACCCTGGAAAAACTGCATAGCCTTCTCTGTTGATAATACCAGTGCAAACCTTGGTCAGTTTAACATATTATTCACCTGAGTACACAACACCAACACAGAAAAATATTCATATTACTAGAACACAATGGTATTGAAGGAACTAGATACTGTTCCGAAATATCACATCGTAGGTTCGAATCCCACCGTGGCCGGGCATATTTTTCAAGCTCGCCCGGTGTGGATATGCACTCAGAGTAACATCGCAAACATAAGACATTGAAATGTTGTCATAACCAATGGCCTTTCCAGATGGAAAAGCTTTAGTGATATGTTTTATTTCATTTTCTAAAACTGGTTCAAGAAAAATACTATTTAAAAATTCTCCAGAAAGAAATGACCTAGCAGAAGCTGAAGATGCTGGAATTTTTCTGGCTAATGAGGGACCTAGATTGCTGAAGTAATCACAAAGTTTATCAGCAATCTCTAATGGATCGGATGTTTCTCTACCATCCAGGTTGAAGGTGGTGTTCAGCCTGGCTTTAGCAGTTCTTGTTTATAATACTGTTTAATATTTTCCATGTCTCTTTCATATTTGATTTATTGTCTGTCAATAAATACGTTTGGCAATTCAAATAGAATGTGTTAATTTATTTTTATAGGTCTTGTATTTACTTTCGATGACAGGATTTCGACTTTGCAAAAATTGTTTGTAAAGTTTGTTTTTCCTTTTTATGGACTTTTTTCCTTTAGAAATCTTTCCTAAGTCCTTTAGAAATCCAAGGCTTATAATACACTTTATACTTTTTTTTCGACGTTTTTTTAGGGAAACACTTATTATGTTTAGTTTAGTTTAGTTTAGTTTAATTAATTCGCCAGTAAATTACAATGACATATAGCCTATAGCAAGTTACAAGTTTACCAAACAGACGACTGGCAGGAGTTAGATGCAGGACTAATGTCCCAGTTGCCATCCTACCCCTATATAAGTGCTTGTGATACCCCTATATAAGTGCTTGTGTAAGTTTCAAGAAATGTTGTGTATGCATATGCTGGATCACTAGATTCTTCTATCGTGGACCAACTTAAGTTTGCTAAACTTTCTTTAAACTTTTCAATATTTTTAGAACTTCTATCTCGAAAAGTTATGGTCTCGTTTTTTGTTTTGTTGTTGTAATTTTCATATGTTATGGAAAAAACAGGAAGATGGTCAGATATATCTGAGAAAAAAAGTCCATTTAGGACACGACAATCAAAGTTATTAGAAAGAATGTTATCAATTAATGTGGCGGTGTGTGCTGTTATTCTAGTTGGGCGAGTAATACGAGGGTATAGCATGTTAGAAAAAATATTATCCACAAACTCTCCGGTTTTGTTGTGACATTGATAATTCATAAAGTTGACATTAAAGTCTCCCATAATATAACAAAGCTTATTTTCTCTCGATATTTTTTCAGCTATGATACTAAAATCGTCAACAAAAGTATTAAAGTTTTGGTCCGGCGGCCTGTAAACAACTCCCACAATGATATTCTTCCCTTGAGGTTTAATCACCTCAATAAACAAAGATTCTGTTGAATTTGAATCTGAAAAATGCAAATCTTTGCGGTTTTTCCAGAATCCTTTTCCGGCTGATAATTTCAGCAAAAACAAAACAAAAGTTATTCCGAATAAGGTGTGCATAATATTAACACACAATTTATTAAAACTGTTTTAATAAATTGTGTGTTAATATTATGCACTCCTTATTCGGAATAACTTTTCTTTTATTTTTGCGGTTTTTGAACTGCACGTCATTTTTTAAATACAATCCAACACCGCTGCCAGTTTTATTTTTCCTATGATTACAAATAAAGTTATAACCGTTAATATCAACATTGTGGTCAGCATTTTGCACCCACTTTTCAGTAATACCAATAGCAGAAAATGTAATAGCTAAGCCGCATAACCAGTCAGTGAGACGTGATATATTTTTTGAAATACTACGGATATTTAAATGTAAAGTTGAAAATCCAAGATTAGCGGAATTGCACTCATTCCTTATCATTTCATTAAACTGATCCTCGATATAGTATTCACAAGCAGTATGGTTAAATTCGTCAAGTAAGTTTTCGTCTGGGTCCAGATTATTATTTAACGCAAGATGGTGTTTAGTATTTAGTAATAAAGGACTGAATAATAAAGTACTTAACCTATCTTGATCATAAACAATCGGACCATTTTGAAATTCATAAATAGTCAATAAAAAACTTTCACCATCTAAATCGGAAAAGGGAAAAGTATTTCTTGGTATAGAAGCCATTATTATAGGTATATTAATTATGCAATAATTATATAACGCTTGAATGGTATTGTTAAGCTAGCTAATTACTAGAGTCATTAATACTTCCAGGTTGTTTGTCTTTTATGACAAGTTTATCCAGGACGAAGTATGCGATCTTACCCTCCTGCTTAGCTTGCCTCAGTCTAGGCATCTGTTCCCTTCGCTTTGCCATTGTAGCTTCGGCGACATCTTCGTGCACGTATAGGCCAGATGGTTTGATTATTCTAGCCTGTTTAAGAATGTTTTGCTTTTCCTTCCAGTCGTACAATCTGCATACAATATGCCTTGGAGTCTCCCTAGCTGATCCATTTGTTTGTGTGGGTTTGCCGACACGGTGTGCTCGTTCGATGCGAGGTTCTTGCGCCAGTCCAAGCTTCTCTGTCAGAGCAGCTTTGACCATAACTTTGGATTCCTCCCAGGTTTCATTACGTTTCTCAGGAATCCCTATTATACGAATGTTGTTCCGCCTACTTCGATTTTCCAAATCAGTAGTCTTATTGCAATAGGCGTAGAGGGACATTTTAACATTTGATAATTCACCGGTGATTGACTGAATCTCAACTATATTCTTGTCCAGTACTGTCTGTTGAGAAACAATATCTTTCTGTGAATACTCCAAGACTATACTTCAACTCAGCTACTTCTTTCACCAAGTTGTCTACTCTTGAAGTCGTCGCTTTCATCAGGGACTCGACCATCAATTTGAAAGCGCTTTCTTGTTGTGCCATTAATTGCTTGACGATTGACAAGGATATATAGTCATCTTGTTCATTTGTCTCATCTCTAGATGTTGTTTTTGTTTTAGGTTTAGATTTCGGAGGCATTATTCAATAATTGTGTTACTATGTAGAGAGCAAAAAAAGGCACATTTGCTCTGCATTACGTCTCTCGGGGTGAAGGATGAAAAGCAAAATTTGCGGATGAAAAGCAAAAATACGAAATTTTCGAATGGGAAATCGGTCAGAGGAAATGCAATTTCATCATCTTGATGATGATGCACCAGATACTTTGCAAAAGATATCAATTGTTACAACTGCTGAAAAATTTGTGGTCAATGTGATACCAAAAGATTCAGTAGGATTATACCATGATGACTGCCAAACCTCCAGAAGAAATAGGTAAACGTTTAGCCAATATACCCGGGCATGATCTTTTTAATGTAAATTAAGAAACAGCTGTGTACTTTGTATTAGTTTAATTACATGCCCCTTGTGAAAAAGAGGCTTCTTAGGTTAAAATCATAGCTGCCAAGGTGGAGTGATCTGCATGTGTGAGATGCCATCCGTGGACACAATCTGGGGGGGGTTGTGGAGATGCATCCCCCTGGGAATTTTTTTAATTTGGGTCTCTGATATGGAATTTCCAGCATTTCATTCCCAAGACATGATTTATTCATAATTTGCTGCATGTAATCTATCTGACTTGGAAGGATATGTCTAGTCAGTTTGGAATCCTCAGCATGACATCCTCACACTGGACTGCCCCAAGTAAAGAGCAATTCCTTCCTCAATTCTTTAAAGCGATGTGTGTCATTCCAAACCTTAGCAGCAGCATAACCGAAAGTATGTTTCATTGAATTTGTTTTTGGTTTTCGACAACATCAGCTTATTATTATTGCTCTTTAATTCATATCTTACAGAGTTGGATAATTTAAACATATCTGAAATGTTCTTAGGACATTGGCATGTAAGAGCTTTTGATACATATTTTAGTTGTTGCTCCTTCCTTCTTTCACTTCACGTTTTCCATTCTAGTTTCTTTAAAATATCAATTGAGCGTATTCCATATGGGTCGCCAGTAATAACTCTTGCAGCTCGGTTTTGAAGCTTGCCTCTTAAATATTCATGTTGCATTATTGACCATGCAGAATTGTTTTCTATTGTGCAAATATGATTTAAACCAGTCTATTGTGCAAATATGATTTAAACCACTTCGAATTCCATAAATAAATAACTTTTTAATAAGAATTTTATGATCAACTGTGTCTAATGCTTTGCATAGATCAAGGAAAAGGGCACCGTTTATCAACCCAGCATCCATATCCAGTAGCCACGAATCAGTATTTTGTAAAAGAGCCATTATGGTTTAGTGACTTTTTTGAAAACCGTACTGACATGGACTCAGAATATTATTTTTGGTTAAAAATAAATAGAGTTGCGAACAGGCAAGCTTCTCAAACAGTTTTGCAATTATCGGGAGTATAGAAATAGGTCGTTAATTACCCTTGTTCTTCTTTGTTTCCAGATTTATGAATTGGACTTACACTGGCTATTTCAAAATCAGGAAAAATTCCATTACTTAAGGAGGCATTAAAAACCAATGTTAAAAAAGGGGGGCACAACGTCTTTTGAGTCCTTTACAAGTTTGGCTGGAATATTGTATGGAAATACTTAATGTATTTCATTTACTAATTTCATTAAGAACTTCCTGAATATGAATGCTGAGAAGTCAAACTCCTTTTGAGCACTAAATTTCATGTACATTTCAAAACTGACATTAGTTTCCGGAATTTGGCTTGATAAAGTTGGTCCAATGTCGGTAAAATATTCATTAAATAGATTTGACATGCTCAAACTTTCAATGACTACTTGATCGTCAATTTGCAATGATGAAATGTTTGTGGATTTAGATTTTTTATTAATCAAGTGATTAATATTTTCCACATTTGTTTCGTATTATTCTTATTTCTATCAATGCAGTCTGTATAATAAAGTCGCTTTGCACAGATTATTTGTTTATTAATCTTATTTTGTAAACTTTTGTAAGCATTGTGGTATGCACTTGAATTTGATTGAATAGCTTTTTTCTTAACGAAATCTCTTCGGTTTATGTTTTTCTTAATTTCGCCTGTGAGCCATGGTGCTTTTTGACTTCTCACTCTACGGCTTTTACTGGGTGCATGAACATCAGCAACATAATTAAATGTTGTTTTAAAGTTCTCCCAGAATCTATTTGGGTCGTCAAAATCCCAATCTATATTTGACAAAGTGATATCCAAGATCAAGATTTAAATTTCTTTGGACATAATTCTTAAAATCCCTTGATTGAATCATTTCGACTGATTTTTACTATAGCTAAAGGAAAGTTTTCTGCAAGCATAAATTAAACTATCGTCACTAATTCCTACATGCAAAAACCCCAGATTGTGAAATGTTTTCAGGATTAGTTACAAGTGCAACATCCAAAAGAGATGATGTACTATCTGTAATTCACATAGGATGATTAATCATCTGTGTTAGTTGGAATAAATCTGCTATTCACATAGGATGATCAATCATCTGTGTTAGTTGGAATACATCTGCTATTCAAATTGGCCAAACACGCCACAGAAGCCGATTAAATGAGTGAATAAATAACGATGTACAATGCATAAAACCGTAGCTTACATGTTATACTGCTCTTTCTGTGCTGATCACGACAGAGAAATGCAAGATAAAGAAATTTACAGACTTTACAGTATGGCTCAAAGCCTGTTCGCCCTCCCGCACATTTACAAGATGTACTTGCTGTTGCCCAACCGATTGATCTTGATCCTGCTCCAACTCAGAATGAACTGTACCCTACGGAATTTAACATTACATGTAGTAATAGACCGGAAGTACGTCACATGGCGTGACAGAGCATGCGGTATTGAGATTAGGAGAATTGTATTGTGTAGAAAAGACAGAGATTAATAGTTGTAAGATTCGAAGTTTATACGGTTTAAAATGTGAGTTTTAAAGAATAATAAAGTTACACACTAAAGTATAAAGAGTGAAGGTACATTTTGGGGGCTCAGGTGGGAATCTAAAGATGTATTTCAACGTATTTGGCGACAATATGAGTGTATAAAGTATACGGTGTGACCTTTGGCTTTGGGATATAAATATGGCTGCAGCTGAAGAAACGGAGATTATATTGGACGGTAAACTGTTGGCGTTGGGTGTTACAGACTTGACTGAATTTGGCTTGTATCTGAAAGTCGAGAAAGCAAAGATCAAAGGACAGACAAAGGTAAAAATTATTAAAGTAATTCGAACCGAACTCGAAAAGATTATAAACACGTTCGATTCTGACAAACAGACTAACGAATATTTAAAAGGTTTAATTGATTTTCTCGACGAAAATGCTCAGCCTAAGCCGTCAGATGAGGAAGGTAACACGTTAAAGCCTTCTTCTGAGCTAGAAAAGCTCGAAATAGAGCTAAAAGCAATTGAGTCGCAACAAAAAGCTATTCAAGAAAAGCTTTTACAAGTAAAACAGTCGGAAAATATTCCCAAGTCAAGTGGAAGCAGCCCTACTGTTGCTGACTCAACAAAAATGCCTTTGTTAGGGTTAAACTCGGGGTTGCAGGCAACAATTTTGCATAGAGATTTCAAGATTCAAGGAACAATAGGCAAAGTTGGGCAAAAAGACAAATTAGGCTACCAATCATTAATGTTGCAAGTGGAAATTGGCTTAGGGAAGGGTTATACAGATAAAGAAATAGTTACTGCAGTAATTAGAGCTGTTCAACCTGGTTTACAGCTTCGAAGCTACTTAGAAAGTGTAGGTGACCTATCCCTAGCTAGACTGCGAACGATTCTTCGTTTTCATTTTCACGAGAAAAATGCAACCGAATTGTACCAGGCATTGACTAATATAGCCCAACAGCCAAATGAAGACTCCGAAGCATTTCTGATGAGAGCACTAACCATCAGACAGAAGATTTTATTTGCTTCGAAGGAATCGGGTAGTGAGATTACATATGACAGTTCTTCGGTACAAAGTTTATTTCTTCATGCACTTGAAACCGGTCTTAAGGATGAGACAATTCGGGCCAAACTTCGGCCTTTAGTATCAAAAACTGATGTGTCTGATGAAGAACTAATTGAAGCAATGTTTTTAGCAGTGTCGGCAGAAACGGAACGTAGTAAGAAGTTTAATGTAACAAGTCCAGGAAAAAGCATGAAAGCACGCGTTTCGGCAGTTCAAAAAGAGGATGACACGGAGAAGAAAGAGATTTTGGCAGCTATTAAACAAGTCAAAACTGACTTATCTGCCATGCAGAATGAGATGAAAACACTCTGTGAGACTGTGCATAATCAGAATCAAAACCCGAGCACAGCAAAACCATCTCGCAAATGTGAAAATTGTAAACCTACTGATGAGTGTAGGCATTGCTTTCATTGTGGGGAATTAAATCACATTGCTCGGTATTGTAGAAAGGGGAAGCAATATGCGTCGGGAAACGGACAGAGGCTACCCCCACGGGACAGGGTGTAGCTGATGACAATACAAATAGGTCCCAATGCAGTAATTGTGCAAGATCAGACACAGTATTAACAAGTAAAATGTTGCAGTGTGTTCACGGTGTAAATCTATACTATATTGTTCAAAAAACTGTCAGCGACAACACTGGCCAAAGCATAGGAACTTATGCAAGACCATTGAGATGCTGGAAAAGCTTGAGCAAGAAGCTAACTATGTTGCCCCGGGAGACAGTTCAGATAATCAGGTTTATCCAAGTCACCTGTCACCTAGACAACATACTCGTGTTACACAGCTAGTAGGGAATAAGTGTTCCGTAAACTGTCATTTAGATGGGCAAGCTGTGACTGCATTGTGGGACACCGGTGCCCAAGTCTCAATTGTTTCAGAAACTTTCATGCATAAACAGTCGTTGACAAGGAAACTCAGAAATGTGGAAGAACTCTTAGGAGTACAAGGAAAAATTGAATTGAAAGCTGCAAATGGCACGCCAATTCCATATTGTGGTTGGATTGAACTTAGCGTGAGGTTAAATGAAACCCAACCTGACATTTTAGTACCGTTTTTGGTAACCAAAGAGAATATTGGACCTCCAATAATCGGATTCAATGTCATAGAACTAATTGTTAAGGAAGCAAATAGCATAAGTGATGATACAGAAACATTTGTGAATGCAATGAAGAAAAGTTTTGGTAGTTGTAAGGGAGATAAAGTACAAGCGTTGATAGATGTTATTTCAGCAAATGAGCCTGATGACCTTTGTCAAGTAAAATGTCGCAAAACAGACATTTTGATTCCGAAAAATCAAAGTATTGATGTACCTTGTTGTGCGAACACTGGTCCAATAAACCGCACTGTTCCAGTTCTTTTCGAACCTATTGACAATACTGAATTACCATCAGGATTATTATTACAAGAGGAACTTAAATCAATAAAACAAGGGAACTGTTCACTCATAAACGTTAAGATTACAAATCAAACAAATCACGACATTATTTTTCCTGGTAGAACAGTGGTAGGGCATTTGCAACTGGTTCACTCAGTAACTCCAATAGAAGTGAAGCTAAAGGAACCTAAAGCAACTACTACTAATCAGCACTTTGATCAAACTCAAAGTCAGGAATGCGACAATGTGAGTGCTGAAAATTTGCCTCCTGTAGACCTGACTGGGTTAAATGGTGAACAGTTAAAACAAGTTAAACAATTATTGTACGATGAACGGGAATCATTTGCAAAGGATGATGATGATGTGGGATGCATTCCAGAGTTGACAATGGATTTAACTATGACGAGTGAGAAACCTGTCCAGAAAAATTATGCGTCAATACCACGACCCTTGTACCCCGAGGTCAAAGGGTACATAGAGGATCTCTTAAATCGCGGATTTATTAAAAAGTTGAAATCACCATATTCAAGTAGTGTCGTTTGTGTCCGAAAGAAGGACGGAGGAATGCGGTTGTGTGTAGATTATAGGGAACTAAATCGAAATACTGTGCCTGACCGACATC